CCTCAGCAGGTGAGTGCTTGGATGAGCCACCTGGAATGTGCCAAGCCTTTCTGGAGGGGGTGCTCAGAGCCCTTCCTTTACTTTTTTTTACTTTACTTTATTTTGGATTTATATACCGCCCTATTCCCGAAGGACTCAGAGCGGTGAACAGCCAAAGGATAAAACACACATAATACAAAATTTAAAAAACAATGTAAAAGCACATTAAATAATTTGGCCCATACAGATTAAAACACCCCTATTATTTTAAAACGAATTTAAAATTAACAATTAAAAGGCCAGCCTGTTGAAATAAAAAGGTCTTGAGGGCACGGCGGAAAGTGCGTAAATCCGGGATCCTCCATATCTCCGGGGGGAGCTCGTTCCAAATGGCAGGTGACCCCACAGAGAAGGCTCTCCCCCTGGGGGCCACCAGTCGACACTGTTTGACCGACGGCACACTGAGGAGCCCCTTTCTATGGGAACGTACTGGTTGGTGAGAGACTATTGGTGGCAGAAGGCGGTCTCGTAAGTACCCAGGTCCTAAGCCATGGAGCACTCTAAAAGTGGTAACCAAGATCTTGAAGCGCACCCGGAAGACCACCGGGAGCCAGTGCAGCTCGCGCAGGAGAGGTGTTACATGGGAACGCCATGTCGCTCCCATAACCACCCGCACAGCCGCATTCTGGACCAGTTGGAGCCTCCGGGTGCTCCTCAAGGGGAGCCCCATGTAGAGAGCATTACAATAGTCCAGGCGGGAAATAACGAGGGCATGGGTGACTGTGTGTAAGGAGTCCCGATCCAGAAAGGGACGCAACTGGCGAATCTGGTGAACCTGATAGAAAGTCCTCCCGGCCACAGCCGTCAAATGCTCTTCTAAAGACAGCCGTGAATCCAGGAGGACACCCAAGTTGCGAGCCCTCTCCGTGGGGGCCAACGACTCACCCCCAATAGTCAGTGATGGCACCAACTGACTATATCAGGACGCCGGAAACCACAGCCACTCGGTTTTGGATGGGTTGAGCCTGAGTCTGTTTCTCCACATCCAGATCCGCACGGCCTCCAGGCACCGGGACATCACTTCAAGGGCATCATTGGGGTGGTCCGGGGTGGAGATGTACAGCTGAGTGTCATCAGCGTACTGATGGTACTTCACCCCGAAACCATGGATGATCTCATCCAGTGGCTTCACATAAATGTTGAACAGAAGGGGTGAGAGGACTGACCCCTGTGGCACCCCACATACAAGGCGCCTCGGGGTCAACCTCTGCCCCCCTGCCAACACAGACTGTGACCGGTCGGAGAGAAAGGAGGAGAACCACCACAACATGGTGCCCCCCACCCCCAACTCTTCCAACCGGTGCAGCATGATACCATGGTCGATGGTATCAAAAGCTGCTGAGAGGTCTAATAGGACCAGGACAGAGGAACAACCCCTGTCTCGAGCCCTCCAGAGATCATCAACCAAAGCGACCAATGCAGTTTCCATGCTGTACCCAGGCCTGAAGCCCGACTGGAATGGATCTAGATAAGCCGTTTCATCCAGGTACTGGGGAAGCTGTCGCGCCACCACACTCTCAAGAACCTTCACCACAAAGCGAAGGTTGGAGACTGGACGATAATTTGCTAACACTGCTGGGTCCAGGGAAGGCTTCTTGAGGAGAGGCCTCACCACCACCTCTTTCAAGGCGGGAAAGTCACCCTCACTCAACTAAGCATTAATAATCCCCTGGAGCCAGCCTCGTGAGAAGCCAGCACCAACCAGGAGAGACACAGGTCCAATAAACATGTGGCTGCGCTCAGTCTACTCAGAATCCTGTCCACGTCTTCGGGGGTCACAGGGTCAAACTCTTCCCAGATAACATTCTCAAGACCTGCCTCCATCATGCCTCCTGAATCTACCTAGTCAGAGTCCAAGTCTTCCCAAATCTGAGCGATTTTGTCATACAGATACTGCACAAAATCCTTGGCCCTGCCCTCCAAGGGGTCCTCCTGCACTCTCTGGTAGAGCAGGGAGTGGGTCACCCTAAACAGGGCAGCGGGGCAATTATCTGATGATGCAATAAGAGCAGAAAAATAATTACATTTTGCCGCTTTTATCGCCACTAGGTAGGTCTTAATATGAGACCTTACCAGTGTTCGGTCAGATTCAGAAAGGCTGGCCCTCCAACTGCTCTCCAGGCATCTTTTCCGGCGCTCCATCTCCCTCAGCTCCTCGGTAAACCAAGGAGCCAGGTGAGACCGGCACCAGGTCAGAGGCCACAAAGGCACGACCCGGTCCAAAGCTCCAGCAGCCGCCCTATCCCAGGCAGCCACTAAGTCTTCAGTTGAGTCATGAGCCAGAGCCTCAGGGAATGGCCCAAGCTCCGTCTGGAACCTATCCAGATCCATCAGGTGCCTGGGGTAGAAGCACCTCATCGGTTCCGCCTCCCTGCGGCGGGGTGTGGCAGTTCGAAGGTCAAAGTGAAGGAGGGAGTGATCCGACCATGACAAGGGCTCGATCACTATATCCCCTATCTCAAGATCACTCAACCACTGACCAGAGACAAAAACCAGGTCCAGCGTGTTTCCCCCTGTGTGAGTAGGGCCATGAACTAACTGGGTCAGGTCCATAGCCACTATGGAAGCCATGAACTCCCGGGCCGCCTCAGATGCTCACCGACGGATGGCAGGTTAAAAACCCCCATGACCATAAGCCTGGGGGTATCAACCGCCTCCGAGGCTATAACGTTGAGCAGCTCGGGCAGGGCCGCCGCCACGTGGCAGGGAGCCAGGTACGTAATCAGCAAGCCCATCTGTACCCCATGACTCCACTTCACAAGGAGGGACTCACATCTGGCAGTCTGAGGAACAGTGGCCTCCCTCAGACCAAGACCTTCTTTTATAACAACCGCCACTCCCCCCTGCCCCTACCCTGTGACCTCGGCTGATGAAATGCATGGAAACCAGGTGGGCACATTTCAACGAGGGGGACCCCCCTCCTGGCCCAACCAGGTCTCCGTGATACCCGCCAGGTCCGCTCCCCCCTCCTGAAGTTCACAAATGAGGGGGGCTTTATTTGCCATGGATCTGGCGTTGCATAACATCAGCTGGAGGCTCGGGCCCTGAGGATCTGAGCAACCCGGGGAACGAGAAGAGCATTGGGGGCCGGAGCGCGCACGAAGACAGCGAGCGCGCACTCCTGCAACCAGGTATGGCCACCTGCTCCCACCATATCTGCCCCTCCCACCCACAGTACTGATGTAATGGCCTCATTGGTATAAACGCTAACCCCCTCCTTGACCCCGAGCCCCGCACCTCCCATGCTGTGACCCCCAGCCAGGCCAGGTCCCACCCTCAGTGGGTTATCCCCCAAACCCACAACCCTAGTTCCAATCCAACCCTCCCCCCCCCCGAAACCCCTTAAAAATTGAGTTAAAAATTTGGATAAAAACTCCTCAACCTCCTCTTCGCTGCATGCCACCTCTCGGGATTCCAAAACCCATAATCAAGGTAGGCCCTCGATAGTGTGGAGGGCCAGGCCTGCAAGATGGGGGAGTCTCACAACACAAGAAGCTCGGCCGCTGATGTTGTGGCTCCATTGCCTGAGCCTGGGCTATCGACAGATGCAGACTCTGAGAGTGAGGGAGAGGAGTTGGCAAGACCTCCCTCTCCAGGACTCTCCTCTCTGGCAATGCCTCTGGAGGACACCGAAGGCCAAATGATAGGCTCAGAGCCAAGCACGTCCCCGCAGCCACAGGTGGACAGCGATGAAGAAGATAAGTGCTGGCTGGACCCGCGACAGAGGCGCAGGGAGAAGCGTGCACAGCAGAAGGGAAGGCATGCCAGAGATCAGCTGAGTCACTGGACCACACCCCACAGGGTATAAATGTGGGTGTGGTGGCCGGTTCAGTTTGTGACGAGCAAAAACTGGAAATACTCCATGATTTCAGTGTTACTGGACTTTGCCTGCTTTATCGGACTGCATTTGGATTAATCCTTGTGTTGTTGACACTCTGCCTGTTTTATCGGAATGCTGGCAGTCTAATCTTTGTTTTGTGTGAGTAAAGTCTGAATTGGCAGCTAGCCACTGGGTTGCTGCCAGCTTTATCTTCAAAGAGTTTTGTCGTGTGGCTTATTAACTCCGGGCTGTCTGTGGGGGTGCGTGTGGGGTACGGGGACTGAACAACTGAATACAGCCAGGTAGCCCGGGGTAAAGATGGTATGTGGCCGGGGATTCAATGATGATAGTCAAAAAAAGGTCCAGGAGAAAGAATACAAAGCCATTAGGTGTGGGTCACCTGGACTCCATTGTCCTCTCACAACAATGGAGAGGAGTCTCAGGCCATTCGAAGTAACCAGAGAATGAGATAAATCGAAACCACCGTCTCACGGTGGCTGGCATTAAAGTAGATGGACTGTCTCATCTGGTAATAGAACAGCAGTAGGGAACCGGCTCCCTCAGTACCCGCAGCCCAAAGGCTAAGAACTCTCCTTACGGCAAAAGGTATGGAATGGAATGCAGAGCTGAGATAAGGGATCAGACTGATGGCGATATCAATGAGGGGATAAGATGGTTCCAGAGGAGGGTATTTCACAGCGGGCGGAATCAGTCCGGATGGCAGGTGACCATAATAATGCCTGAAACCAGGCCACAGGGGAAGGAGAGACAGTACCAGGGCGACAACCAGCCACTCCTCCATGGCCATCCAGCCCTTCCAGGTCTCCCTCAGATCTTCCAGCAGTCACACAGTTCACATAGTTGGTCCCAGATTCCCAGATCTCTACAGGCATCCCCATCCGGAGCAATTCCACGCTGGCAGGCCGCCAACGAATACCTCCCACTCCCAACAGCTGATGATTCAACCAGGCCAACACTGCTCCTCTCGGCGCTGTCCCAGTGGCCGCCATCACAGCCGCCGCCGCGCTGCTGCCACCAGCAACCACATCATTCCCTGGTCCTCCACGAGCTCCTTTGCCAACGGCTGGCAGATTTTATCCCCTTGGAATAGAGGAGACTTGGAAACCATCAGCTGGATTAAATATATTTTTATTTATTTATTTAACATTCATTGACTGCCCAACTCCAGTGGACCTGAAAGGGGGGACAAATGGAAAAGGCCCGCCCAACCCAACAAAGGCACCAAGGAGTAGCTGTTCAAAGACCATTTAGTCATGTGAATTTTGTAAAATGCAAGCTCTCTATCAAGGTAGCAAATCGAAAGCAGAGGGGATGGACTACATGCCCTTTGGAAGCCCTCAGAAAGAAAGAGCCCCATCAGCTGAAGGAGCCGCCTAAGCCACAGGCCGGATTTTCATTTCAGTCCGCTTGTAGGAGTAATGGCCGCCTTTCCCTGTATACCAGTTGATGCCATCTGCTTGAGACTTGTATTCTCCTAGCCAGTATCTCCCGTTGAGGTTGGAGTCATGGCAGTAATGGTACCACCAAGCCCCTTGGAACTTCTCAGCGCAGTTGAACATCTGGGGGTCCTGCCGCTTGTCTCGGGTGGAGAAGGTCATGTTGTTGTGGTAGGAGAGCGAGTCACCTGGGAGGCAGAAATGGGGGATGGGTGCCAGGAAGGGCAGCCCAAGCCATCTCCAGGGAGGCGTTCATTGGCCTGACTGGCACTGCCCAATTCCAAGAGGCTCATGGAAAAGGATCCTGATGTCCCCTGGACTTTGTCAGGGACTCACCTGCAGTGCCCCCTGTGAAGGCACCCAGAGTTAGCTGATACCAGTTGGATTCTGCTGCCACCTGGAAGGACGCATATTTGGCGAAGGTTTGATGATTGTCGAAATCAATCAGGTCAACACGCAATTCGTTCTTTCCTAGATGGAAAAAAACAGCTACGTGGGTCAGTTTTTGCATTGCCCTGTCACCAACACTCACAATCCTGAACATATGTTTCTCTGGTGCCTCCTCCATCTGCAGAGGGGGCTGAGGGCCCCCTTGAGGTTCTTCCCAGTGAGGGTCCTGCACCCCTCTGCCTTGGCAACAGGAGGGTTCAGGGCTGCAAGGGGAAGCCCCTCACCCAGTGAGCTCAAGCAGTGAAGGTTGTCGTTCCCCAGCCAGAATTCGGTCAGCTGGTTTCCAAATCCCCTCTTGTAGGCAGCCCAGTCCCGGAAAAAGTCCACCGAGCCGTCCGACCGCCTTTGGAAGACCTGCGGGGGAGAATTGGGTCCCTTAACCTTCCCTCTGGTCAGGTCCCGAAATCAAAGGTTTTCTCTCCCCACACCCCTTCCTTCCCAAATTTTAGGGGTCTCAGAGCTAGCCTTCTCCATCTAGAAGTGCTGGACTCCCTCCCATGGTCCCACCAGTCTCCATCCTGGCCTCAGGAAAGACTCAGTTTCTGGTTCATCCCATTCCTGGCAAGCAGCAAAGTTACAATCCTGGGTGTGTCTGCCGTGGGGCGTAACCCCCTTCCCCAGGGAAGGCTTCCTACAAGGCATGGCGGTGAGAAGTACCACATGCCTTGGCCACACCTCCACCACACTCACAATCCATCCGCCTCCGTCAGTGTCCATGTCGCACAGCACCTCCAGGGGTTGGCAGTCCTGGGGATAGATGGTGTACCAGCCGCTCAGGACCACTCCTCTTTTCAAGAGCTCTTTGCAGTTTGGGGCACCTGGGCAGAAAGAGGGCAGGAGAGGTTGGCGCTCCCTGTGCCAGGATATTCGCCAAAGGATCTTATTCCTGAGGGGTTGGCTCAGTGGCTGCAGCTGGTTGGCAACAGGCATCCGGCTGGTTGAACAGACCAAGTGGTTGCAAGTTAGGGATGGGGGCTTCTCCTAACACTGGGTGGGCTGCAGTCCCCACCCCTCCAGAAATGTTTTTGGAGGAGTAACTTTTCTTCTAAAGATGAAAACCCTTTTTTTGCATTTTCCCTCTTGAAGCAAAGGCTGCCAGTGGTCAGAAGTAGATCCTGCAGATGTTGGAATTGTGGGAGGGGGCAAGGAAAAGAATGGGTAGTAAGAACCCACCGACCCGCCCACCCACACACACTCACTTCACTTGCACCTAAGCGCCTCCAGCCTCTTCTCATCTGCAAAGATGGGCGTGAAGAAAAGCCAATTCCATCCACCCCCCCATATGGCAGGGAAGGCCCGGGGAGGGGGGAGGGATCCCACTATGCAGAGCTGAATTGTGGGGGGGGAGGGGGACAGAGGCTCAACTATGTCTGATGTGCCCCAGCTAGCCTACCTGTCAGGAGTCAGGTACCTTTCAGCCTAGCTTCATGCCCCACTGATCACTTTGGGGGGCTGAGCTGAGAAGGTCTTGGTCCGAGGGAGGCCACTGTTCCTCAGACGGCTGGATGTGAATCCCTCTTTGTGAAGTGGGGTCATGGGGTGCAGATGGGCATGCTGGTTACATCCCTGGCTCCCTGCCACGTAGCAGCAGCCCTGCCCAAGCTGCTCAACGTTATAGCCGCGGTGGCAGTTAACACCCCCAGGCTTATGGTCATGGAGGATTTTAACCTGCCATCTGCCGATGAGGCATCTGAGGTGGATCAGGAGTTCATGGCTTCCATGATGGCCATAGACCTGACCCAGTTAGTTCATGGCCCTACTCACACGGGGGGAAACACGCTGGACCTGGTTTTTGTCTCTGGTCAGTGGTTGAGTGATCTTGAGATAGGGGATATAGTGATCGAGCCCTTGTCATGGTCGGATCACTCCCTCCTTCACTTTGACCTTCGAAATGCCGCCCCCCACCGCAGGGAGGCGGAACCGTTGAGGTGGTTCTGCCCCAGGCACCTGATGGATCCAGATAGGTTCCAGACGGAGCTTGGGCCATTCCCTGAGGCTCTGGCTCATGACTCAACTGAAGACCTAGTGGCCACCTGGGATAGGGCGGCTGCTGGAGCTTTGGACTGGGTCGTGCCTTTGCGGCCTCTGACCTGGTGCCAGTCTCACCTGGCTCCTTGGTTCACCGAGGAGCTGAGGGAGATGAAGCGCCGGAAAAGATGCCTGGAGAGCGATTGGAGGGCCAGCCATTCTGAATCTGACTGAACACTGGTAAGGTCTCATATTAAGACCTACCTGGTGGTGATAAAAGCGGCAAAGTATAACTATTTTTCCGCTCTTATTGCATCATCAGATAATCGCTCAGCCACCCTGTTTAGGGTGACCCGCTCCCTGCTCCACCAGGAAGCGCGGGAGGACCCCTTGGAGGGCAGAGCCGAGGATTTTGTACAGTATCTGTATGACAAAATCGCTCAGATTTGGGAACACCTGGACTCTGACTGGGTAGATTCAGGGGGGAGGACAGAGGCAGGTCTTGTGAGTATTATCTGGGAAGAGTTTGATTCTGTGACTCCCGAAGACATGGACAGGATACTGGGCAGACTGAGCACAGCCACATGTTTACTGGACCCGTGTCCCTCCTGGCTGGTGCTGGCCTCTCGGGAGGTTACACGAGGCTGGCTCCAGGGGATTATAAATGCTTCTCTGAGTGAGGGTGTCTTCCCCGCCGCCTTGAAAGAGGCAGTGGTGAGGCCTCTCCTCAAGAAGCCTTCCCTGGACCCGGCAGTGTTGGCAAATTACATTCCGGTCTCCAACCTTCGCTTCCTTGCGAAGGTTGTTGAGAGTGTGGATCCATTCCAGTCAGGCTTCAGGCCTGGGTACAGCACAGAAACGGCACTGGTCGCGTTGGTTGATGATCTCTGGAGGGCTCGGGACAGGGGTTGTTCCTCTGTCCTAGTCCTATTAGACCTCTCAGCGGCTTTTGATACCATCGACCATGGCATCATGCTGCATCATGCTAGAGGAGTTAGGGGTGGGGGGCACCGTCCTACGGTGGTTCTCCTCCTTTCTCTCTGACTGGTTGCAGTCCGTGTTGACAGGGGGGCAGAGGTCGACCCCGAGGCCCCTTGTATGTGGGGTGCCACAAGGGTCGGTCCTCTCACCCCTTCTGTTCAACATTTATGTGAAGCCGCTGGGCGAGATCATCCGGGGTTTCGGGGTGAAGTACCATCAGTATGCTGACGACACTCAGCTGTACATCTCCACCCCGGACCACCCTAACGATGCCCTTGAAGTGATGTCCCGGTGCCTGGAGGCTGTGCGGATTTGGATGGGGAGAAACAGACTCAGGCTCAACCCATCCAAGACTGAGTGACTGTGGTTTCCACATCCTGATATAGTCAGTTGGAGCCATCACTGACTATTGGGGGCAAGTCATTGGCCCCCACGGAGAGGGCTCGCAACTTGGGTGTCCTCCTGGACTCACGGCTGTCTTTGGAAGAGCATTTGACGGCCGTGGCCAGGGGGACTTTTTATCAGGTCTGTCTGATTCGCCAGTTGCGTCCTTTTCTGGATCGGGACTCATTTAATACTCATGCTCTCGTTACTTCCCGCCTGGACTACTGCAATGCTCTCTACATGGGGCTCCCCTTGAGGGTCACCCAGAGGCTCCATCTGGTCCAGAACGCAGCCGCGCAGGTGGTTATGGGAGCGGCGTGGCACTCCCATGTGACCCCCCTCCTGCGCAAGCTGCACTGGCTCCTGGTGGTCTTCCGGGTGCGCTTCAAGATTTTGGTTACCACTTTTAGAGCGCTCCATGGCATTGGACCGGGGTATTTACGAGACCGCCTTCTGCTACCAATAGCCTCTCACCAACCAGTACGTTCCCATAGAGAGGGGCTTCTCAGGGTGCCGTCGGCCAAACAGTGTCGACTGGCGGCCCCCAGGGGGAGAGCCTTCTCTGTGGGGGCACCTGCCATTTGGAACGAGCTCCCCCTGGAGATACGGAGGATCCCGGATTTACGCACTTTCCGTCATGCCCTCAAGACCTTTTTATTTCAACAGGCTGGCCTGGCCTAACTCTCCTCTTTTAAATTTTTTAATCGTTTGATTTTTTTTATAATTTGGGTGTTTTAATCTGTGTTTTCGGCCAAAATATTTAATAATTTTAAGGGACTTTTAATGTTTGTATTATCTGTATTTTATCTTGGCTGTTCACCGTCCTGAGTCCTCTGGGAGTACGGCGGTATAGAAATTTGATAAATAAAATAAATAAATAAAATAATTCAGTCAGGGCCCCTTTTGCTTCAGAGAACAGAGAGGCTGGCAGAGGCCCTGATCCGAGGCAGCTCCCCCCCTTGGGAGGTGGGGACGCAGTCCTTACTCGTTTCTCCTGGGTCGCCTTTCTCGCCTGAAATGCAAAGAGAAAGAGAAGGGCAGAATTCCTCCTTTTTGGGAGGGTCCGGCAGCATCACTCAGGCTCAAGAAGGGGTGGCAAGTAGCTGAACCCCAGAAGCCCATAAGTAGCAACATCTGCTGGGGGAAAATGGGTACCACGCTGTCTCCCCAGCCCCCCAGAACTCCAAGGGGCATCATAAGCCATTTTCAGGAGGGTCCCTTCCTTTTGGAAAATGGTTCTGGCACAGTTGAGCAAAATAAGATGACATGATTTACATCATTTGTGACAAACACAATTCCTGGTTGGTAGAGTGAAGGCACCCACAATAAGAAGCAGGGTCCCAGAGCAGCACAACCAAACCTTTATATAAAATTTTAAAAAGCTGTCTGCAAGGAGTCTAAATCCTTCCATTCCCCACTATCCTGTCAGAGCGGAAGAAGCTTCTGGGATGAGAAGCGAAACGTCTTCAAAGAAAAACCAAGGAAGTCCAGTTGCCTCCTGATAAAAGAACCTCTGAGGCACCCAAAGTCTTACCTCTCTCTCCAGGTTGTCCTGGGTCCTCTTTTTCTCCTGAATTAAAGGGAAGAAATTCTTCTGAGACCTCCTGCACTCAGCCTGGCCTAGTCCTCACCCCAGGCAGCCCCAGCGCTGTTTTCCTGCCCACGCCAAAGGTGAGCTGACAGGTGAGGATCTGGAGCCCTGGGGATGTGGGTGCTTGACTTTTAGGCTCAAGCAATCCAACCGCCCCATTTTAGGGTCCCTTCTTTGGGTTCCTTTCCCAATGTGTTCCTCTCTCTCTCCACCAGCTCCCCAAACACACCTGTTCAACCTTGGAATCGGAAACCCTCTCATTCCACCTCACCTTTTGGCCCTATGGCTCCAATTTTTCCAGAGATTCCCTGCAAGCCTCTTTCACCTGTTAAGGACAGGCATGGGGAAGCTTCCAGGTGCCTCTGGAAGGGGAGGGGAGTAGCCCCCAGCTGAAAGGTGGCTGAGTGGGCAGCCCTCTGCCAGCCACTCTGTGCTTTGTGCAGGTTTAAACCAGAGCTGGCAGCTTAACCCAAGGAAATGCCCCCTTTGGGAGGGGGAGTTTCGACAAGTCGAGTGCCCGGAAGAAACGGTTCCCTTCCCCCTCATGCCAGTCCTTGCAGTCTTCATTCGTGGCACTTTCCTTCTGCCTTGTGACAAGACGGCTTATTTCTTTCGGAAGGGATCAGGTTCAGGAGCCAATTTCATCTCTGTCCACAGACTCACCTTTTGCCCCTGGAATGCCAGGGGACCCCCGTGGCCCTTGTGATCCTGGCAAGCCTGGACTCCCCCGCTCAATGGCTATTGTATCGTTGACATCAGGGTCAAGCTCCTTAGCTTCTGCAAAGGAAGGAAACCATTTGGAGGAAAGAACTTTCTTTAAGCGAAGCAAAGCAAGTGGTCTAAAGCACCCTGTTATTAAGACCAGCTGCCTGCAAATGCGTGCGGATCTGGATGGGGAGAAACAAGCTCAGACTCAACCCCTCCAAGACCGAGTGGCTGTGGCTTCCGGCGTCCCGGTATAGTCAGCTGGTACCATCACTGACAATAGGGGATGAGATCTTGCTCCTCACAGAGAGGGCCCGCAACTTGGGTGTCCTCCTGGATTCACGGCTATCTTTAGAAGATCATTTGACGGCCGTGGCCAGGGGTGCCTTTTATCAGGTTCGCCTGATCCGCCAGTTGCGTCCCTTTCTGGATCGGGACGCCTTGCGCACGGTCACTCATGCCCTAGTTACCTCCCGTATGGACTACTGTAATGCTCTCTACATGGGGCTCCCCTTGAAAAGCACCCGGAGGCTCCAACTGGTCCAGAATGTAGCCGCGCGGATGATTATGGGCACAGCTGGTTACGCCCATGTAACACCTCTCCTACGCGAGCTGCACTAGCTCCCGGTGGTCTTCCGGGTGCGATTCAAGGTGTTAGTTATCACCTTTAAAGCGCTCCATGGCTTAGGACCTGGGTACCTACGAGACCGTCTTTTGCCACCAATAGCCTCCCACCGACCAGTTCGTTCTCACAGGGAGGGACTACTCAGGGTACCGTCAGTCAAATTATGTCGACTGGCGACTCCCAGGGGGAAGGCCTTCTCTGTGGGGGCTCCAACCCTTTGGAATGAACTGCCCCCGGAGATACGGAATATCCCTGATCTCCGTGCTTTCCGCTGTGCCCTCAAGACCCTGATGTTCCAACAGGCGGGGCTAAACATACGAACATGTGAATGATTTTTTAAATGTGATCTAATTCTGGGTTTTATTTAATTGACCAAACTAAGTAATAATTTTAATGAGCAATTTTATGATGTTTGTGTGTCTATATTTTTCTTGACTGTACACCGCCTTGAGTCCTAAGGGAGAAAGGCGGTATAGAAATATAATAAATAAATAAATAAATAACTGCAGGTTCGAATCTCGCCAGGCTCAAGGTTGACTCAGCCTTCCATCCTTTCTAAGGTAGGTAAATTGAGGACCCAGTTTCTGGGGGCAATAAGATGACTTTGTATAAATATACAAAAGGATGAAGGCTATTGCTGAGCACATTGTAAGCCGCCCTGAGTCTCCGGAGAAGGGCGGCATATAAATCAAATTAAAAAAAAAAAATTCTCATCTGAGAAAGGCAGTAATGCTGCCCCTCTTGCTCCTCAGAGCTAACCTGCCTGTTACTCAAAAAAAGTAGAAATAAAAGAAGATAGAAAAAAAATAAATTCAGAATATCTCTGTTTGTCTATCTGTCTTTCTGCCTGCCTGCCTGCCCGTCCATCCGTCCATCCACCCATCCGTCTGTCTTTCTGTCTATCATCTATCTAATGTGTCTTTCCTTTCCATTTTTTTCTCCTCTTTTGGGTCCCTTAGTATCTATGGAGCCAGGCCAGCCCTGTCCTGCATTGGGTATCCATACATAGAGAAACAGCTTGTTCTCTAACACAGTTTTACATTTGAGTCTTGTAAAATTTTGGTCTTAACTCTGGATTATTTCCCACTCCATATAAATTGGCTGTTTCTTGCCATTTTTATAAACTCCTTTCTAAAATTAGAACTGGCACCATTTGAAACAGATAATTTACGAAGTATTGTTGGTATTTGTTACCACTTAAGCATACTTAGAACAAATTAGTTTCCCCACTTCCAAATCTGTGAAATAATTAGAGCTTTGCAAGTGAAGGCAACAAGATATTTTAAAACAGCAAGGGACTCCCATAGCATCTGTTTGCAGCTCCACCTTTCTCTGGAGTCACACAACTCCAATGCAATCCTAGGAGATGATATATTTGCTTTAAGGAAAACTCTATCTATCTATCTATCTATCTATCTATCTATCTATCTATCTATCTATCTATCTATCTATCTATCTATCCATCCATCCATCTTCAAGCAGAAGACCCTATACCGTGTCAGACAAATGGTTGTCCAATCTCCTCTTAAAAACCTCCAGTGTTGGAGCATTCACAACTTCTGGAGGCAAGTTGCTCCACTGATTAATTGTTCTAACTGTCAGGAAATTCCTCCTTAGTTCTAAATTGCTTCTCTCCTTGATTAGTTTCCATCCATTGCTTCTTGTCCTGCCCTCAGGTGCTTTGGAGGATAGCTTGACTCCCTCTTCTTTGTGTCAACCCCTGAGATATTGGAACACTGCTACTATGTCACCCCAGTCCTTTTCATTAAACCAAATTATTTAATTATATAAATTAGAAATGTAAATTATTAAAATTATTAGTGAACTAAATTCAGTTCTGTCTCTGATCTCATTACGTGGGATATAATAGACAATTTTGCACCTCGGTATTTATTTATTTATTTTATGGCATTTTGATCCTGCTATGATGAAAAATGAGTCTTGATTTAATTGGGACTTGGTATACCTGTTCTTAGCAAGAGCAAACCACTTCTGAAAATCTTGGCAAGATGGGATATCAGCATGTATATTCCGCAGTCCTTCCTTGAGGCTACATCTGGGTTGACAGAGATTCACATTCTAAATATGGTTTATCATTCAAATGAAGTTAATTATATGGCAATTGGATTTTTAAAAAATATTGTTTTTCAGAATAGGCACAGCACAGTTGCTGATGAAAGTTTATTGTTTGAATAATTGTGTAATTGCAGCTTTGAATTCAGAGGAGATACCTCGGAGGAATTTTTTTTGCAAAATTTGCTATATTCAGTGCAGCAATTTAACTTTCTTGCTTCACTGCCTCAATTTATCATTCAGTTTATTCCACAAAATGTACCATATATTTATATTTTAGTTCTAGTATTACCAGTGATTTTAAACAAAATCAGTTCATGGTGAAGATGGGTTATAAATCAGTATCAAAGCCCCCCGTGAAGGAGCCCAGAGTTAGCTGATACCAGTTGGATTCTTCCGCCACCTGGAAGGACGCATACTTGGCGAAGGTTTGATGATTGTCGAAATCAATCAAGTCAACACGCAACTCATTCTTTCCTAGGAGGAAGAGAACAGCCATGTTTTCACACTGCCCAGTCACCAAAACTCAGAGCCCGGCTGCCATGTTTCTCCGGTCCTCCTCCATCCACAGAAGGGCCTGAGGGTCCATTCGAGGCTCATCCTAGGGAAGGCTCTGTGCCCCTCTCCCCTGGCAACAGGAGGGTTCAGGGCTGCAAGGGGAAGGCCCTCACCCAGTGAGGTGAAGTGGTGAAGGTGGTCATTCCCCAGCCAGAATTCGGTCAACTGGTTTCCAAATCCCCTCTTGTAGGCAGCCCAGTCCCGGAAAAAGTCCACTGAACCATCCGACCGTCTTTGGAAGACCTGCGGGGGAGAATCGGGACCCTAAACCTTCCAGCTCAGCAGACCCCCTAATCATACTCTTCCCTCCCTTCCCAAATTTTAGGGTTCTCAGAGCTGGCCTTGTCCACTTTAGTGGCCTTGTCCACTAAAAAATGCTGGACCCCTTCCACACCAATCCTGGATGTGTCTGCCATGGGGCACAACCCCCTTCCCCAGGAAAGGCTCCCTCCAAGGCATGGTGGTCAGAAGTGCCGCATGCCTTGGCCATGCCTTGGCCACGCCTGGGTAGAACCGCCACTGTCAGACTCACAATCCATCCGCCTCCATCGGTGTCCATGTCACACAGCACCTCCAGAGGCTGGCACTCCTGGGGGTAGATGGTGTACCAGCCGCTCAGGACCACTCCTCTTTTCAAGAGCTCTTTGCAGTTTGGGGCACCTGGGCAGAAAGAGAGCAGGAGAGGTTGGCCCTCTGTGCCAGAATCTTTGCCAAAGGGTCTTATTCCTGAGGGGTCAGTGGCTCAGTGGCTGCAGCTGGTTGGCAACAGGCATCCAGCCAGTAAAGTGGGCCAAGTTTAGATTCCAACAGAGTTGGAAGGGACCTTATAGGTCATCTACAACCCCCCACCCATGCAGGAGACCCTACACCATTTCCCAAAAATGGCAGTCTAATCTCTTCTGGAAAGCTTCCAGTGATGAAGCTCCCACAACTTCCGAAGGCAACTTCTGTTCCATGGATTGATTGTTCTCACTGTCAGAAAGTTTCTCCTTATTTCCAGGTTGAATCTCTCCCTGTTCAGTTTCCATCTATTATTCCTTGTCTGGCCTTCAGGTGCTTTAGAAAACAGCTTGACCCCCAACTCTTCTGTGTGGCAGCCCCTCAAATATTGGAAGTCTGCTTTCCTGTCTCCCCTGGACCTTCTCTTCCCTAGACTAGCCAGGCCCAGTTCCTGCAATCGTCGTTCATAAGTTTTAGTCAGTGGTGTGAATCAAAAATTTTTACTACCAGTTCTGTGGGCGTGGCTTGGTGGGCATGGCAGGGAAGGTTATTGGAAAATCCCCATTTCCTCCCAATCAGTTGGGACTCGGGAGGCAGAGAATAGATGGGGGCGGGGCCAGCCAGAGGAGGTATTTACCGGTTCTCCAAACTACTCAAAATTTCTGCTACCAGTTCGCCAGAACTGGTCAGAACCTGCTGAAACCCACCTCTGGCATTAGTCTCCAATCCCCTAATCTTCTTGGTTGCTCTTCTCTGCACTTTTCCTAGAGTCTCAACATCTTTTTTATAGTGTGGTGACCAAAACTGGATTCAGTATTTTAGGTGTGGTGTTACTAGGGCTCACTTGATCTTGATGTATTCCTGTGTTAATGCAACCTAGGATTGCATTGCATTTTTTGGCTGCTGCCACACACTTCTGGGCAGTGGTGAAATCCAAATTTGATGAGTTCCCCTTCTATTCCCTCATATAAGAGTACTGGGCCCAAGACGGGACCTTGTGGTACCCCACTGCTTACTTACTTCCATGTAGCTGTTGTACCATTAAGGATACTTCTTAAGTATGGTTTGTCAGTCAATTACAAATCCATCTAGTGGTGATGTTATCTACTCCACTTTTTTCTAGCTTACCAAGAAGTAGATTGTGGTCTACTTTGTCGAATGTCTTGCTGAAATCTAAGCATATTATGTCCACAGTATTTGTGAACCACAATCCACAAGTGGTTCTGCAGGTTCGAATCTCATCAGGCTCAAGGTTGACTCAGCCTTCCATCCTTTCTAAGCTGGGTAAATTGAGGACCCAGTTTGTGGGGGCAATAAGCTGACTTTGTATAAATATACAAAAGGATGAAGGGTATTGCCTAACGCACTGTAAGCCGCCCTGAGTCTCCGGAGAAGGGCGGCATATAAATCAATTTTTTTAAAAAAAAGTGGTTGTGGTGTGGTGTTGCATATTGAGGGTGGGGGCTTCCCATTACATTGGATGGATGGGCTGGATTAATTATCCCTCCTGAAATGTTTTTGGAGGAGCCATTTTTCTTGTCAAGAGGAAATCTATTTTAGTACAAACCATTTTTTTGTGTTTCCCAAAAGCTGCCAGTGGTCAGAAGTGGATCCTGTAAATGTTGGAACTGCCTGGCCACAGCATCAGCTCTCTAGGGATTTGTGTGTGTGGGGGGGAATGTGTAATAAGGACCCCCCACACACACACACTCACCTCGCTTGCACTGAAAGGCCTCCAGCTCTCTTCGTCTGCAAAATAGAAGGAAGTGAAAAAGTCAATTCCTGCCCCCCTCTTCATGGCAGGGAAAGCTCGGGGGGGGGAAAGGATCCTGCCATACTGACCTGAATTGCAGGGTGGGACAGAGGCACAACTATGTCTAATGTGCCATAGCCTGCCAATTTATTGAGAGTCCCTTTCAGTCTAACTTCATGCCCCACAGAGTTTGTTGGGGGGCTGAGCTGCACAATTAAGCCAGGGGCCCCTTTTACTTCAGAGAACAGAGGGACTGGCTGAAGCTCTGATCCAAGGCAGCTCCTCCCAATGTTCCCCTTGGGGGGGGGGCACAGTTCTTACCCATTTCTCCTGGGTCGCCTTTCTCGCCTGGAATGCAAAGAGAAGGAGAAGGGCAGAATTCCTCCTTTTTAGGAGGGTCCGGCAGCTTCACTCAGGCTCAAGAGGGGGTGCCAAGCATTGAACCCCTTGTGGGCAGAATCTCATAAGTAGCACCCTCTGCTGGGGGAAAATGGGTACCAAGCTGTCTCCCCGGCTCCCCAGATCTCCAAGGGGCCCCATAAGCCATTTTCAAGGGGTTCCCTTCCTTTTGAAAAATGTTTCTGGCACGGTTGAGCAAAATAAGATGACATGGAAGGAGGGGAGTAACCCCCCCAGCTGAAAGGTGACTGGGTGGGCAGCCCCCTGTCAGCCACTCTGTACTTTGTGCAGGTTTAAACATGCTCTGGCATGTGGCAAACGCAAGGAAATGCCCCCTTTGGGAGGGGGAGTTTTGACAGGTCGAGTGCCCAGAAGAAACGGTTCTCTTCCCTCTTGTGCCAGTCCTGGCAGTCTTCATCGTGGCACCTTCCTTCTGCCTTGTGACAAGACGGGTTATTTCTTTCGGAAGGGGTCAGGTTCAGGAGCCAACTTCACCCTCTGTCCACAGACCCACCTTTGGCCCCTGGGATGCCAGGGGGCCCCCGTGGCCCTTGTGGTCCTGGCAAGCCTGGACTCCCTCGCACAATGGCTATTGTATCACTCCCATCCAGGCCCAGCGCCTTAAGTTCTGCAAAGGAAGGAAAACATTTGGAGCCAAAAAAAGTGTTTTTTTAGAGCTAAGCTAAATTTCGGAACTCTGAAGGAAGGCAGAAGGCCACTGTCCCTCCTCCTCAGAGCCAACCTGTCTGCTCCTCACCTGGGCAGGAGGACTCCTGCGCCCCTCGATGGATTGCGATCATCAGGCAGAAGAGGAGGAGACCCACTTGCTCTCCAGCTCTCCTCATGGTGCGCACTGGACTCCGACTGCAGCCTGCCCCGGACCCTCTGCTTTTATTTGGGCAGCCGGCTTTTGTCCCTTTCCTCATTGAGTGGGGCCTCCAGGGCAAAAGTCACAACACCACAAAGTACTTCCTTGTTCCTTGATCAAAACACACCCCTGGTAGTTAAACACCTGGGTAAGTTTTCATTCTAGAGCGATGCACCCCATTTGCTTTATTTGTTGGATAAGGCTAATTGTTCAAGTCTGTCAAGTTCTTTTTGGATCCTGAGCTTGTCTTCTCTGGGGTCATCTATTCCTGCCACTTTAAGCGTCATCTACAAATTTGATGAGTTCCCCTTCTGTTCCCTCATCTACATCGTTTATGGAGCTATTGAAGAGTACTGGGCCTAAGATGGAACCTTGTGGTACCCCACTGCTTATTTCTCTCCATGTAGTACCATTAAGAACTACTTGTTAAGTATGGTTTGTCAGCCAGTTACAAATCCGTCTGGTGGTGATGCTGTTTATCCCACATTTCTCTAGTTTACCAAGAAATACAGTAGGTTGTGGTCTACTTTGTCAAATGCCTTGCTGAAGTCTAAGTATATTATTTCCACAGCTTTTCGCTGCTCTACAAATTTAGTCACTTTATCAAAGACTGAAACAAGATTGGTTTGGTATGATCTGTTTTTAACAAACCCAATTTGTTAAACCTAGTTATAACTTTTTTTGTGAGTAGATATTCACAGATCTGGTTTTTCTCAAGTATTTTATCCAGTATTGGTCAGGTGCTGTGAATTCCTTGAAGGAAAAGGTCCAATTGCAACCCAGATTTCAAGATCCTTCAAAACCATCCAGAAAAGAGCCAGGAGATGCCACAATCCTCAGTGTTGTGAACAACTCGTGAAATATTCAAAGTGGCACAATGTGTAAAAATACAGCATGGATAAGAGTAAACATCCCTAAAAGCCACTGGGGGAGTAGAAAGAATCATGTAAAATTGGCTGCTTTCCCCCTATTGGAAGAAATATCCAACAGGTTCAGTTTCCATCTGGGGGGAAAGACACTGGAGACAAAATTGAGGCTGGAGGCTGATTGGAAAGATGGTTTAATGATGGACAGAACCACAAAGCACATGGGTTCTGGGCAGCTGACCACATGGATTTGAGAGTGAGGGGTTTTTATACCTTCTCTTGGGCTTTGCCCCTGAGCTTCCTGTTCCTGTGCAAGAACATGTATTCTATTGACTGTTGTCAGACTCCCATGGTGCCATGTAGGGGTTATGTATGGATCATAGTTGGCTCTATAGGCAAAGTACAAATCCTAGCTGTTTGACTGAGCTACGCTTGGTTGAAGTTTGGAGGGTGGTGCCATACTTTCTATTATGGCTTCATGGCTTTTGCCCTGTGTTGGCTCTTGGGTGAGGGCTACTCTGCCTTTGTTCAAACTTTGCTGCAGTAATGGAGTAATGGAGTAATGGTTTACCAAATCTGCATTTCTAAAAGCTGCCCCAGCTCAGTATCTGCTTGGGGGCAGGGAGCTGGGGCTCTGAGTTTCTGTCAGAGCCCCAGCTGAGATTTTTTGTTCCTCTCTTAGGGGAAATATTTTATCCTGCCTCTTTAAAATATTCCTCAAAATATTTCATTCCTCTAGGAGGGGGGTGGGTGCGAACTTTCTACACCCCGTTGCTCTTATCCTCAGCCAGCAGGACTCCAGGAACAAGAAGTGCAGCTCTGAACCATGGGGTTTTCCCCTTCTTAATGCACAGCCCAACAGCTCCAGGGAGGCATCCAAGCATAGTCCTGGTGGAGAAGAATCAAGGGCCCTCCAAACAGCCTTTCAGGGACTGGTCCCTTTTTTTGTTTTATTCTCCTGTTGTTCAAAAGACAGGCTCCCCTGTTTTTCTTAAAATGGCGTGAGAGCAACGGAGAATTGCTGAAATGCGGTGGCACCTTTAAGGGCTCTGAATCCAGCCCACCCACTGATTTTGGAGGAAGCCAGAATGCAAAATATCTCTCTAATTGGGAAAGGGACATTTGTCCTTCAGATCTCAAGATTCTTCTCCAGATAAAGTTGTTTTATGCATTGATCTGTAAAGTAATCCATCAGGCAGTAGAACAACCAAAGAACCAGTCTTGCCAGATTTTGCCTCTTCCAAGGAAGGGAAGGGGAGTTTGTTATTGTTTCCCTGAGGTTATAGGAGCACTTTTTTTACTGTGAGACTCATGATGGACAAAAAGATGCATCTGGGTCCCTTGTGTTTCCTGGTGGAAAGATGGGATATTTAACTGGTTCTGCTGGGCTGTGTTCGGGAGCTCAGAGCCCTTCCTTTGCCAAAGGCTGGCAGATTTTATCCTCTTGGAGTAAGGCAGACTTGGAGACTGTCAGCTGGGTTGAAGTTCATATTTTTATTTATTTACGATATTTATTTAACATTCGTTGGCTACCCAACTCCAGTGGACCTGAAGGGGGACAAATAGAAAAACCGCCTCCCCTCCAAATCTGCAAGATCATTTAATCACGTGAATTTTGTAAAATGCAAGCTCCCTATCAAGGTAGCAAATGAAAAGCAGAGGGATAGACTAGATGCCCTTTGGAACCCCTCAGAAAGAAAGAGCCCCAACAGCTGAAGGAGCCGCCTAAGCCACAGGCCGGATTTTCATTTCTGAGCGCTTGTAGGAGTAGTAGGGCCCTTTCCCAGAAGCCCAGTTGATGCCAACCCCACGAGACTTGTGTTCTCCCATCAAGTATTTCGCATTGAGGTTGGAGTGGTGGCACTTATGGTACCACCAAGCCCCTTTGTACATCTCAGCGCAGTTCATCTTCTTGGGGTCCTGCCGTTTATCTTGGGTGGAGAAGGTCATGTTGTTGTGCTGGGAGAGCGAGTCACCTGGGAGGCAGAAAGGGGGGATGGGTGGCTGGAAAGCCAGCCCAGAGCATCTCCAGGGAGGCATTCATTGGCCAGACTGGTGCTGCCAAATCCAGGAAGGCTCAGGGAGAAGGATGCTGAGGACCCCTGGATTTTGTCAGGGACTCACCTGCAGGGCCCCCTGTGAAGGCGCCCAGAGTTAGCCGATACCACTTGGATTCTGCAGCCACCTGGAAGGACGCATATTTGGCGAAGGAATCCTTATTGTCGAAATCCGTGAAGTCAATACGCAATTCATACTTTTCTGGGAGGAAGAGAACAGCCACGTGGATCAGCTGGCGCACTGCTCAGACTCACAGCCCCACAGGCTTGTTTCTCTGGCGCTTCCCCAGTGGTGGGATTTAAATAATTTAACAATCAGTTCTCTGGCTGGGATAGGTTTGTCTGGTGGTCATGTGACTGGGTGGGTGTGGCCAACTCAACATCACTCATCACACCTAGCCCTGCCTCCTGGCCACTCGCCTCAAAGATAGAGGTTGGATACAGCAATTCTGTTGTGACTCCGACCCCCGAGCCTGTCCTAACAGAGGGAGAGGACTCAGAAGGTGAAGGAGAGGATTTGGCAAGGCCTCCCTCTCCAGGACCCTCCTCTCTGGAAATGCCTCAGGTTTCTTCTGAAGGCCAAGAGCAAGGCACTTTGGAGCAGCCGCAGATAGAGAGCAAGGGGGATGAGTTTTGGCTGGATCCAAGACAGCGTCACAAGGATAAGCGCGCACAGCAGAGAAAGAGGCGTGGGAAGGCCAGAGATTGAGATGAGTCACTGGACGACACCACACAAGGGATAAAAGGGGGTGTATCAGCTATTCAGGCCTTGTGACGGATAAATTGAAAAGCTCGGAAGTCATATTGTGTTTCTAGAACTCTTAGAATCTCTTTTTGGATTTCTTCGGACTGGACTTTGACAATTCTTTGCTTTGTGGAATTAATTTGGTATATCGGACTGAGGAGAAAAAACCTCCCTTAGTGAGTAAAATCTCTTGGCAGGCAGTTCATGGTTCGCTGCTAAGACTGTTATCTTAAAGGAATTCCTGACTGTTTGATTCATTAACTCCTGGCTGTCTGTTTGTGTTTGTGCGTGCGAAGGGGACAGAACAAATTCTGACCAGTTCAAGCTAATCTCTCTGTCAACTCACAATGCATCCCTGGCCTACTCTCGAGTTGCCACAGGCAAGGGGGATTGGAACATGAACATGCAGCTGTGGCGAGGCAGCACATCAGTCAAAAACAGAAGCACATTTCAGCCAGTGGTGGAATTAGCCGGTTCGCCAAACTGGGCAGAATTTTAATAACCGGTTTGCCCAAACTGGTCTGAAGCGACTGAATCCCACCTCTGCGCCTCCCCATCAGCAGAGGGACCTAAGGGTCCCCTTGGGGCTCTTCCCAGTGAGGATCCTATGCCCTGTGCCCCTCCCCTGGCAACAGGAGGGTTCAGGGCTACAAGGGGAAGCCCCTCACCTAGCGAGGTCAAGCGGTGAAGGTTGTCGTTCCCAAGCCAGAATTCAGATAGCTGGTTTCCAAATCCTCTCTTGTAGGCATCCCATTTCCGGAAAAAGTCCACCGAGCCATCCAACCGCCTTTGGAAGACCTATGGGGGAGAATTGGGACACTTAACCTTCCAGCTCAGCAGGCCCCCTTCCCAAATTTTAGCGGTCTCAGAGCTGGCCTTCTCCACCCAGAAGTGCTGGACCCCCTCCCAGGATCCCTCCGGCCCCCATCTGGTCTCAGGAAAGACTCGATTTCTGGTTCATCCCATTCCTGGCAAGCAGCAAAGTTATTGTCAGATCCCTAACGTGATACTGCCATTCAAATGGAGGGAGGGGAGCATGGGGATAAGCTGTATTTTATAACCTTTTTCCTGGCGCCTAAGCACCCTGAAGTATTCTCACCTTTTTTGGAATGTAATGAGGAGGGAGGGCCATGTGGATTGTTTCAGTTTGTTGAAAGCGGAAGAAGATCCTGGGAATGGCTCCTTATATGTTTCTCAGGACGACTGTTAAAATAACATCTTCACACCTGTGGATTGGCTGAATCCACATTCAGACTCGAGGGAGGGATTCTAAAGCCCTATTTCTAATTGTATATTTTGGGAGGGAATTTAGAGTCTGCTTTGCCTTGTCCTGCTATTACTCCTTCTCAATAAAAGATTCCTT